CAAACAGCACAAGGTACACCATGGGATATTGACACTCTACGTTCCTATACACACAACTAAATCTAAATTAAATAGCACGTGTATGTTTGCCAACGCCTTATTTTCGGAAATTTACTTGAATGTAAACGTTCGGCAGCCCACTGCCTGGTTAGGAGTAGACATGAAGCGAAAAACAGTGACTCTAACCAAAAGTTTATTAAACATTTACCCGACGTTTCGGGACTAGTTCGGTCCCTTGTTCACGGGCGAGTGATTCCAATTTACTTGGAATCTTTTATATATGTTAATGGAACGCGTGCCGAAAGGCCTGAAATCCTAGTCCCCTTCAAAGTACTCCACCTTGGATGACACACACTTGTTTGAAGCATTTTTTATCGAGTATGCTTGATGAAATGTTCCAAATGAGCCAGTGAAGGCGAATCATATATCCCAAGACAGAGAAATACTGAAATACACGGGCATGATCCCAGATATCTGTGTACGTTCGTCCTGTCTGCCTCAGTCGTGGTGTTCAATGCTTCATACTTCACTGCACTTGAAAGCAAAAAAATTGGGTATGACAGGCGTGCAAGTTCGGCGGAACCGAGGAGGCCATTTGCAACTGATCTGCACGCAGAACTGACCGATCACACCTTTAATGAGAGCACGCTCTTTACTGAACCGCACAATAAAAACGACAAGAGCATCTCGTCCGGCGAGCGTTCCAGTCAACTCACGCCTGTGCGTAGCTTTCTGTGCTTTTCTAGAGATGTGGTTAAATTCCTCGAGTACGACGCCAGCTGCCAGCTGTTTACTAGCAGTACATGGTAAAACCCGCGACGGAGCCAAAAAGGACAACCGCGATACTTTTTATCTGCCTCGGGTTTTAGTAGGTGCCTACCAAGGTTGCCTGTACTCTTTGGCAATGTTGGTTTTCTGCCAGTTTAGGCGAACTGAGCCACACGCCTGTTTCGACCGGTTCAAATTTGAATCAATAGCAACCAACGTACAAAGAAAACAAGTTTCAAGTACTTTTTGAGATTTTTGAAGTGACTTTTACTATAGAACGACTGCATACAGTTGAATGTTCAGTTCAAGAGTTTATAAAACTTGACTACCCCATGCTTGTCACTTGCCAACAGGGTCGTAACGCTCAATGGCTCGAGCCCAGTGGGTAGTTAAGTAAGCCTGTGGGGTAGTTACAGCCGTCAAAACGCATGATGACTAGGGGGGGTGCTCACTTTTTCTTTGAGTGTAGCTTCGATAAAAAAAAAAAACAAAGCAGCACCGCGGCTCACGGCATCTAGCGGAGCCATTGCGAAGCTGCCCGAGTTTTTGTCGTAAGAGCACAATTTGGACTTAAACGAAACATAACTTATCTCGTCAGTACTGTTATTAAAGATGAATGAGCAATTATTTGTGCCAAGTACTTCGTTAGAATCTAGACGTAAATCCAATAGGTGACGTATCTAGTGGTCAAAAATGAGCAACATGGCGTCGGCCTGGTGGGGGTAACCCTTTCAGCTGCCAGTTGATCGCTCTAAGCCCCTCTACCTCGTTGGTCTGCTGTGACCGACTAAAGGCCCGTTCACACTCTTGCGACCGAGTACGACTGAGAGAGACGAGATCTCTTACAACTTCTTAAATGTTTTTAGAATGAGGGAACACACTGAGATTGTGGCGCCATCTATGCGGTGACCCTGGAACTGCATTTCACAAGAGCGAAGGTTTTGCGGGATTTTCGAGGTCAAATGTGCGTAATACCCATAGAAAGGCTCGTTTATAACATTGTCAAAAGTTTTTCGAGCCAAGAAAGAAAGGATAATGCTCGAGATATAAAAAAAAATATGCCGGACCGCCGAGTTTACACTGCTTCCCAATAGATGGCGCCAGTGTGTTTTCTGGTTTAACAAGTTTTAAGGAACCCAGGTTTAAGAGGTCGCAAGCAGTCGCAAGTGTGTGAACGGGCCTTAAAACAATCACGAACAGTAAATGCGCCGTTATTTCGCCCTCCTTTTTTTAGGTGCGTGATTGGCTTGGCCGGTGATAGGAAACCCACAAAGAGAAGGCGTGCCGTGACTATGCACTTTTGGCGGTGCTCGATTGGCTCCATCGAATGGTAGCGTCGTCTGCGGTTGGACTTAAAATGAAACGAAGGATGCGCAGCGCAAGTTCGTCTGCTTCTTTTGCAGTGGTTGTGGTGACGTCAGAACACCGAACTCTGATTGGCTCTGCTTGAAAGAACAGTGGGTAGACATCGAGGCAGCTGGCATCGAGGTCTACCCACTGTTCTTTCAACCAGAGCCAATCGGAGCTCGGCATTCTGGCGTCACTGCGATCCTTGCGCAAGAAGCGGCGGAACTTTCGTTCCGAATAATTTTCTCGAAGAGAACTCGGACAGTCAGTTTCGGCGATCGACGAAGGATAGCTCGGGAAATGACGGGTCCTAAACAACAACCGTTCGACCTAAACAAAGTCCGCAATGCAACAGTGAGCGAGACACGTGAGACGCCGTATACTCAATGCCACGTCGCGGGTTTCCTTTTGAGACTCGCCATTTAGTCGATTGGGTTCTTCAGTATAATTGCCTCTTGGATGTTCCGTGTTGTAAGTAAAAACGAACGGGCATTCTTGAAGACGCGTTGAATTAACCTGAGACTAGGGTAGAAGAGAAACATCAATACGTAGAAGAACCGGAAAATAGACAGGACGACATCTCAAACTCAGCGAAGTCGCTTCTTTAGTACGCCTCTTTATACAGTCTCAACTCAAGGTGAACTATATAAACGGGTTGGCTTAGTTCAAGACGTCGTCCTATCTATTTGCTGCTCCTACTTTTTTATGTTTCTTGTTTGCCCGAGTTTCAGGTTAATTCAACGTAGTAATATTCACCAGCTCGCTTGCACACTTACTATATATTCTCGAAGCATGTGAACACTACAACTAGTGGACATTGTCCTGGGATATTTAAAAAGCCCAACGGAAACGCGGACAAGGGAGATAGACAGGGACAACGCTTTAACTTACAACTTAATTTTATATTACCGATGTCAACAAAAAACAGGCCAACGAAGGAGCACAAATACACACCGTTAAAAGGCAAAAAATATTGTTACATCCCTCATCGGCAGCAACACGAACTCCTCTCCTTTGGTTGAAAAACCGCAGTATACTTTATCTGACAATGATACAGAGAGAGTGCTGACACACCGCAGTCCCACTCTACCAATTTTTGGGCCTCGGGTATTTACCGCGTAATCTTGTCTCTGTTTTGGTTTTACTACGTTAATGTCAGTGAAGATGGGAGCGCAACCACAATTCCTGCAGTGTACACCGAGATGCCCTGATATGACCTTATCTACTTTGTATCGATGTTCCCTCGAACGTTGATTCGGATGGTAGTTTGTCTGTCTTGCATACTGACGTCCGCGCGACGATGGGACGCGACCACTTCCAGACGCTCCACGAAGCAAGTTTTCTGCTTCTTCGTGCAGCAGCTTGTAGTTATCGTGTCTGAATTCCCCTTTACTTTCTTACGCCATTATTCTACGCTTTACGTTTACTAATAACGCTGTGTATAGTTTTGACGCTAAAGAACGGTGCGGTCACCTGCGTTTACGGCATTTGCTGCTAAAGCAAAACCTCCATATTCGGGCTGATGCGGTAGCCTTTAGCAGCTAATACCGCTTGTAACCAACGCCAGAAAAAGCAGTTACATTGATTGTGTGAGGCGCGACCTACCAACCATGAGGCGAATCTTTTCCGTCCTACTTGCCTGCCAATCGTGATTGGCTTGTCGCCGGTGACACAAGCGCATACAATGGTGTGAAGAAAAAAAAACATTCTTATACTCCGTTTTACTTCACGTTGCTTGTAGTCTATTGTGTTTTTCCAATCACCGGCACGCCCAGTCGCGTCAGCAGAAAACGTCAGCAGAACTTAAAGGGGTACTCCGCCGATTGCTTCATGGTCCCCGATTTGCTTGAAATTTTGCTAAACTTGCCAAACGACATCGCTAAAATAGTATCCCAAATATTAGGTCAAAGTAATTTTTTTTTCACGAAGTTATTGAATTTACAATTTTGGTCCTTACCGTGTTTTTCAAACTGAAAGTCTCTACTGGCAACAACAAAAAAGTGACGTCAGTGGAAGTGGAGGGGTTCACTCTTTGGACTGCAAAATTTGTTCCCAACTGATTCGAAGCAGTTTCATGGAGTCAATGAAGGCTTTGGAAGCTCGCTGCAGTCCCCGCGCTCCAGCACGGAATAAATGATTGGCATATTCTATTTTTTAGACTGCTCGCTCGACTGGGAAGCTTGCCTCCCACTGACGTCACGGCACTGAAAAGGGAGGGTATATTTGAATGTTGGTTTTTGCATCATTTTCATTTGCCGATTTCACAATAACTATTATGAATTTCACGATACTAAATAGCATACCAGAAAGGGTAAAGGCCGGGGAGTCTGAAAATATATTTAGTTGAGGTAGCTCAAAAATCGTCGGAGTACTCCTTTAAAGAGATGCTGAACCGAAATCTGGATTCCACAAAACACGCGGCAAAAGCGTGCAACGGGATGCTACAAACACCAAACATCACTCATACATCGATATATCGCACGGATGGCCGTATTTTTCAAAAAAAGGAGGCGCATTTGACAGGAATGTTGACGTCATATTTTCCGAGAAGGAGAGGGAACGGCCTCGCGTGTTCTCCGCCTCGCCGCCTTGAGGGAGCGAAGCGAAGAGAGGAGGAAACGAGATATTTCTACGTCACACGCCTCGTCGGCCTGATTCAATCTCGACCTCTTTTTCCAAAAATACGGCCGTCCATTCGAGATATCGCCTTACGAGCAGTGTTGTAGGGATTGTAGCGTCCCGCCTATATCTCCTGCATTGTTTCTTTGAAATCCAAATTTCGGTTCACCCCCCTTTAAGGTGAAACGGAGTATAGTTAAAAATCCAAAAATAAAAGAGGTTCAATACGGGTCAAAAATAAGTTTTTCCTTTCGCCTTCGCAACAGATTCGAAGAAGGAGCACTTCTCTTTTTGATGGCTGCCCTAATCTTCCTGTGGTTCACGCTGAAGCCACGTGCCTTCCCGGGCTGGATAGAATTTTTTCCCTACGCAAAGTACGTAAGAGCAAAAAAAAAAAAAAAAAAAAACATTCGTTATAATTACAATTACCCGCATACTAGGAGCGCAAATTAGCCCAACATAAATTGTCTCGGCAATTTTGTGCCGGCGATAATGGCCCGACGAAACTTCGCTATCCAACAATGCTCGTAACAAACGTAACAACTTCGTTGCCATTTTTTTTCTTCTTTGCAGTCAAAGTTCTATTGATTCTTCGTGTGACGCATTTTTTAAAAATAAAAAACAGTTTATATCTTAGTTTTGGTTAGGTATTTTCACGTAGCGGCATGCTGTAAGACGGGTGTAGCCCGAAACAACCCATCCCCGTTAGAACCCGTCCCGTTTCGACACATTCCCGAAACGACCTTCCGGTTTGAACCCGTGCCGCTTTCATCTATTCCCGAAACGCCATATCGATTTGAACCTGTCCCGTTTCAAACCATTGGTACAAGGCCCTGCCCCTCTCCGCTTCTTCGCAAAAAGCCTCTATTGTTCTAATCCTGGCCTGCGCACCTTTTCTGGTGGAGAGTATGCTCTCAAAATATTTTTGTATGTCAACGTAATCTTAAGATATACATTTCAGACAGGCTTCAACGTAATATATTTCTACCTCAAAGTTGTTCAGACGTTTTTTTTTCCCCTTTTTATAGATGGTTTCTAAAACGTGCAACCGCGAAACGGACTATGCACACTGCGGGACACTGTTCCCGTGAACACGACGTTGTCGCTCAGGCACGAGCTTCTGTCAGGATTGATGCGAGGCTGCAGGATGAACCATGGTTGGCGCACCGCCACGCGACAATTGTGTTCGCATTCGAACGTTTTTTTTTTATAAAACTTATACTCATCTAAGTATAAACACTGCTTCCATTTTCTGTTTCTGCAAGATAACAAATGATGACATCGGGCAGACCAGCAGCGACCAGTGCTACGCTTGTTTGCAGCCCTGCAGGCACCATAAGCACCAGAAAAGCGTGTAGAGAGTGACTGCTGGTGACCAAATCTTGAAGGTTGTTTTGGGAGTGGTCGAAATACGGTCACCAAGGAGGACCGACACTGGACATTTGAGCTGACCCAACCGATGATGAACAACGGTCGAAGTGGGAAGCTTGTTTTGGGATAGGCCAAAATGAAAAAAAAAAGAAGGTGAAACGAGACGGTCGTTTTCATCCGGGTCGGAACGGAAAGGTACAAGCGGGAAAGGTTGAAACGGGAAATGGGTCGAAACGGGAACCACCCGTTTAGGCTGCCGTGACGATACACTCTTGGCGCCGTTTGATTGCCTCCGTTTGGAGGTGAGCAGGTTAATGGCATTATGCGTTGCTGAAACAAAATGCACGAGGACGGACATGGAGACGCTTCTTAACATATCAACTCAACATGATACATGGATTGTCCCGTCCGTCCCTGAGTTTATTCTTTCAGTAACGTTAGATTGGCATTGTCGGATCGTAGAGCTGGCTGCGTTCGGATTTGGTGTGAACGGAGTATAGCCGTCTTTCCTTCTTGCTAAAGGTCGCGCGGATTTATTGTTGGGCCGAGCAGGGACATCGGCAGCTGCGTGCCCGCCACGGCGGTGGCCATTTTGCTTTTCGTGGTGCCTAAGGAGCCGCACAAGGGTTCCGCCAGCCCCGGGATCCTAACCTGGGAGGACGCCAACACCAGGATTCACTGGGGCGTCATCTTGCTTATCAACGGAAGCATGACGCTCACTCAGGCATCCAAGGTGGGCGCAGTTATTTCCTTCATTCTCCGGGTCCGCGCACGCTCGAGATGACTCTTTTTCATTGTGGGAAGAAATACTGCGTCGAACGGACGCAACGAGCGTGAATTTGAATTGAAAAATGGTCTTTATGTTGCCGAAAAGCACGGGTAACATCTTAAGTTAACTGTCTTTTTCTCTCTCGGATACGCGTTTCTGGGTAAGATGCAGCGTGCGTTGCAGTTGTGAATTACATTTTTATGGTTGCTGGGGCTCTTCATATAGCACCTGTATAATACAATGAAATTTATGCTTATTGAATAAGGCTTTCTAAGAAAGGCACCAACCTAAGGCCTACACATTGGGTCGAAACGGCACCAGATGGGTCAAGGTCTAGAGGTAGCAATGAAGTCGTGTTTGTACTCCTTGTCTCCGCTCTCCAGTGTTAAAATGGCTATCATTGTTACTTTTTTTCACCAGATGTACCAATCACAATGTGTAAACAAATTTGAAATATAACGCGATCTTTTGTGGTATCCAATCTACCTATTGAGCCGTCTAATTTCTGATTTCTAACGTTCTAATAGACCAAGATTATTAGTAGGTCACCATCAAACGGAGCTTTTCAAAGAAGTAGCTAGATTATTTTTTATATCATCACTTCCTTCAATCCTGCTGTTTACCTTTTTTTTTGTAATACAAAATCTTCCTTTACATGTGGAGTCTGGACTTTCAAATCGCGCCTAAATTAAGTCTCATCCCACCTCGCGCTTTTTTTATGAAAGCATTTGACTATTTTTGCATCATACAAGCATTTCGTATATTTGTTTTTTTCATAGCCTAAGTTGTGGCGCATGCGTGAAATTATGTGAGTCAGACGCTGCGCAGTCCAAATACTGGAAGTAATTATTTATCATCCCATTTAAATAAGTCAAAGCCTTGTTAAACGTTTTGGAAACGAGATATAAACCAGTTCACTATCAAATTCCAAACTTCTTACACGTATTTTATTTCACTTCAATCTTATTATAAATATTAACCACTAAAAAATTACTGCCTTTTTTCCAGGTATTTGTTTTAATCTTATAAAATATTAGGCAGTGTTGAATGCTCCGATAGCGTGCCTATATAAACGTGAAGCAATATGTTTCCTCATTGTTATTAACTGCAACCGCAAGAACCCTTTATTTCTTCATCTCCTTGGGAAAATGAAGAAAGAAACGACGTGCATCATTTATAGTACCTCGTGTAGGACACAACGAAGGAAAGCGTCTAATCTCGCTAGGCAATATTTTTCGTCAAACAACCTTTATTTCATTCCAGAAATCTGGTATGTCTGCAATGCTCGTGAAGGAGCTGCAAGTGCTTGAGGCCCTCCCGGATTTCTTCGTGGTCAGCATCCTCTGCTTCGCGGCCTCCATGTTCACGGAGCTCACCAGCAACGCGGCAGCAAGCTCCATTATGCTGCCCCTTGTACTTGAAATGGTAAGGACACTGCTACAACCCTGTTCTTGTATACAGCGTCTAGCGTCATCGAGTCAACCAGTACCATGGGAACGTTTCAAGCGAAGAGATCACAATGAAGATTATCACTTAGCTGAGGACTTGCTGAAGAACACTGCTACGTACCTACTGAAAACGGCATTAACAAATTTCAGAAATATGTTTTCCCACATTATTAGATAATAATGAACTTCAATAGTTCCGCGCTTAAAAACATATAGCTACGAGAGCAGTCGTCAGCCGCTGTTCAGGCTGGAGCTCCGTTTCCCCAGTTTTACTACGATGCAAATTTTTTTACCAGTCAAGCGAGTCTCAAGATAATTTCACGTTACACTGACCCAACCGAGCTAAAGACTGATTCCAAAGAACCAACTATATTTTCTCGTTTTCATTTCAACAGACAATGAATTCAATTTTCAACTAAACGCTTTAAACACTACATTAGTTTAATGAGCAGTGACCACTGAATTTTCTAGTTCACTCGTAAATGTGATACTGAATTCTTAGCTGTTTCTTACGTCGACGTTTTCACATTTTACGCTCCACTAATACCCTAGATAATGTAATAGACATAAGGCTTGTGTAAACTTGTCATAGTTGACTGATATGGCTGTAAATGACACGAAACATGTTTTTTGTTCGTTTGTTCGTTTTCATTGCGGAGCTCCCTGAGCTGCAGGCCAACCCAGCTGAAGCAATACCACCTAGTAGACAAGGGCTGCGGATTACGTCATTGTTAGTGGATCCATCGCCCGCCACAAGGGTCAGACCGCGTATACGCATTCATTGTGAGACGCTGCAAGACACTCTTGCGGTGATGCTTATGAAAGCTAGGTAACGCTGCATGAATCCACTAGTGATGACGTTTGGGGGGAAGGGGGGGTGGGAGGGGGAGGGAGGCGCAGGTTTCGTTTTTTTTTTTGTGTTGGCTGAATAAACTATTTTACAGGCCCTTGCTCTCCGTGTGCACCCCTACTACTTTGCACTGCCCGTGACGGCCGGATGTTCCTTCTCGTTCATGCTGCCAGCGGCGACGCCTCCCAACGCCATCGTGTACGAACTCGGAAAGTTCAATATCATAGACATGGTACGCATCATATTCAGATCGAGACCATGAAACGTCCCTTTTTAGACACTGGTTCCTATCAGTCATATATGGCAGTTTTGACGGGCTCATACAGCACGTGAAGACCTGGTATTTACACAACTGAGGTAGAACACAAGGAACGTTAGGTACATGAGCCCTTGTCCATCCGAACTGCCTCGTGTATGATGCCTCGAGCGCGTCTTTGACTGCTTTTTTTACTGCGTCCTAAAACGTGGGCCCTCGATTTCCGCCTAATCAAGTCATAAAAGTGTCACGCTGTCACCTGGCGATGTCACCGCAGCTGTTATGAATGTTATAGAAGCCTGTTCTGCAATACTGGTCGCTCTCCTGTTCGGCAGGCCACGGAAGGTTCGGCAGCCACGACGACAGCGACCCTCGCGTTCCCTCCCCCTTTTTTTTTTCAGAACTTATGCCCTCAACCGCAACTGTCATCAAAATTGCTACTGCGTTGTAATGTGCACACCAGGGGCGTTATCAAAAGTACTGCAATTTTATCTGCGTCAATACCATGCATCGGCACCTCGTAAGAAAGCACCCCCGCCCCAAAGTCTTGTTCGCTTCAACAGTGTCGCGCAGTGTAGCTCTACTTGTGCACTTGGTCCCAGAACGCACAGTAGTCACTGTGGCAGTGCGGAACGGATGTTCGTCTGCTTCTTTTGCAGGGGTTGTGATGACGTCAGAACGCCGAGCTCTGACTGGCTCTGATCGAAGAATACTGGGTAGACCTCAAAGCAAGCTGCCCTCGAGGTCTGCCCACTATCCTTCAATAAGAGCCAATCAGAGTTCGGCGTTCTGACGTCACCACAACCCCCGCAAAAAAAGCAGACGAAAAAGTACCGAGCGCTCCGCATTCTTGGGTAGCTTCACGTGTCGCCGCTTCATGACAAAAAAGTGGCGCTGTAGCCAGGATACCGGTGCATTTCTGCTCGAAGGGGCGTGGCATGAAGCGTCTCAAGTGTTGTACGCGAGCGCGCGGTGCACGAGAGCGTCTCGTACTACGCGTGCTCATGCAGGACGCACTTCTACGCGTGGTGCCTATGTGCGCCGCCCGATGGAACCAGTCGCAAGGTACCGGTGCCACGGGCGTCATGAACAAGTTTTTGTGTCTGGTATCTGTCGGAAAGAAGTTCTCGCAGGTGGTGATGGAGGAAGACTAGGAGTGAATGGAAGACGAAGTTGAAACAGCTGGTCTTCGTCCAGCGGTCTTTGAGCTCCGATATTAGAATACAACAATTGGCGCAGTCGACAAGCCTCAACTTCAGCATGAAGGTCGAGCCACCACCGCTTTTCTTACCGTCGCCGGGCAAGCCTACAATTCCATGGGACGAGTGGTACGCAATTTTCGAGACGCACATGATCGCTTCCGGCGAGTCGGCGATGGACGACGGCAGAAGAACTGCCATTCTACTGAGTTCACTCGGAGTTGAGGGTCAACGGACCTACCGCAAATTTCCAGAGCTCCAAGCCACTCCCACAGCCATCCCTGATACAGTTACAAATACCCCAGGGGCTGCCTCGGCTTCGAGCGGAGCCAGAGCACCAGTTACCACAGCCTAGGATACCGCGGTGAGGAAATTGCGAAAATTCTTTACGTCCGCCATCAACAAAACGGCTGAAAGGTTTGTATTTCGTTCACGAGCGCAAATGCCCGATGAGACAGTACAAGAGTACTTGACAGTCCTGCGAGGCCTTGCAACCAATTGCTAATTCGGGGACATGACGGATGAAATGATCTGCGATCAACTCGTCGAGAAAACGAGCCATACCGAAGTACGAAACCGGCTACTCCTAGAGGTTGAGCTTTCGCTGGAAGCAGCTCTAGCTATCGCATCTTACGTTGAGCAGGCGATGAAGGACGCCAGTCTCTTCACTGAAGAAGCGGTTTCCAGTGCCCAAGTATCGAAAATTAAAGCGCAAAATCAACCTCAACCTCCGGTTTCTTCATCTAGCCGAAAATCTTTCGGTAGTTGCTACAGATGTGGTTCAACACATCCCATAATGCAGGAAATGTCACAAGAAGGGACATTTTGCCTCTGTCTGCAAACAGACAGTTTCCCAGGCAAAATCCCGCGTGCGAAGCGTAGCACAAGTACAAGTCCTTACTACGAGCTTCAAAAACCAGTTCATTACCTGCGAAATACTGATTTCGCGCGTACCCGTCAGATTTCTAGTCGATACCGGATCATCGGTGTCGATTCTTCCAGAAAACGTCTACCGAAGATACTTTCAATCCTACAAGCTACAACCAACAAGTGTAGCTCTCATCGATTACTCTGGAAAGGACATTCCCATTCTGGGAAAATTCGACTCAACCGTACAGTTCGCCGAAAGGAACTGCAGGTGCACATTCCACGTCGTGCGAACAGGCACGGCCGTGATGGGACTGAATACCTTATGTGCTCTTAATATTTACCTTGACTTTGGTTCTCCCAAAGGGGAGACGATTAGGGGCCAGAGTTTCTTTGAGAAATCTTCCAGAGCTTGTAAAGCACTTCCACCACTTGTTCCCAGAAGGTCTGGGTCACGCCAAAGGATTCGTCCACAGAGTGAAGACGAAGGCTACGGTTAGCCCAGTACAACAAAAACTGCAATGACTACCTTTCGCAGTACGCGAAAACGTTTCTGAGGAGCTGGCAAGGTTGGAGGACTCCGGTGTAATTGAACGCGTCGATGCATCGGAGTGGGTACCTCCAACTGTGGTTGCGCGGAAGAAAAATGGAGACATCCGGCTGTGCGTAGACTTACGCAAGCCAAATACTTCAGCCATTGTTGACTCGCATCCTCTTCCGTGTCCGGACGAGCTTTTCCACCGGCTGTCGGGTGCAAAGGTATTCAGCAAGTTAGATCTCTCGTCAGCGTACCACCAGTTGCACCTGGCAGAAGAAAGTAGAGACCATACTGCCTTCGTGACGCATGAAGGTCTATTTAGGTTCACTAGGGTAAGTTTCGGGCTGGCTTCCGCCGCCCCTGCTTTCCAAAAGCTGATGGGCTGTATCCTTAGAGGCACTCAGGGTACCAACGTCTACCTCGATGATGTGCTCATCTTTGGAAAAACGAACAAGGAACATGACGTCCGACTGAGAGAAGTCCTTACCCGCCGACAAGAGGCGGACCTGGAACTAAACAAAGACAAATGCATTTTCTCAGTGCCACAGCTTCAATTCCTGGGACATGAGATCACTCCTCAGGGGATAAAGCCATGTGAAGATAACGTCAGGGCGATCATGCAAGCCTCTGCTCCCACAGACGTAACGTCACTACGATCTTTGCTCGGTCTCCTAACGTACTGCTTCAAGTTCGTTCCCAACTGCAACCATCGTAGAGCCTCTAGATGCACTCCTTCGGAAGAATGTTCCATTCCAGTGGGGAAAGAAACAAGAGGAAATATTCACCTCAGTCAAACACCTGATTCAGAGCTGTGTCCCACTCGCTGTTTTTGAGGCGACACTTCCTACCGTCGTCACTGCGGAAACATGAAGCTACGGGTTGGGCGCGGTATTAAAACAAGTGCATCCAGATGGAATACACACCGTCTCATTCTCATCATGAACACTTTTTAGCGCAGAACGCAACTACTCTACGGGAGAGAAAGAAGCTTCAGCATGTCTTTGGGACATTGAGATGTGGCATGTTTTTCTTTTTGGCCGACATTTCAAGCTCAAGACGGACCATCAGGCTCTAGTGACCCTGCTTTCTACTCAGGGAACCGGTCAAACACCGATGAGAATAGCCAGATGGGCCACGAGACTCCTAAAATATGATTACGAGATTCACTATGAGAAGGGGAATGAAAACGTCGTGGCAGACGCACTTTCACGTCTGCCTGCACGGAATGGTTTCGACCACTCTGAGACATGCGAAGATGAAGAAGAATTCACTTGCCTGGTACACAACCTATACTCGATAGACATACCAGAAGTCAAAAGTGAAACGAAACAAGACCCTGATTTGCCTCGGGTGATACAGTGTATCAGAACGGGTTGGTGTCTCGAACAGCAACGAGACACAGCACTGTCCCCATACTACAAACTACAAGAAGAGCTCTCCTGGGTGGACGGCGTGCTACTACGGGGATAAGTGCTGGTACCACCTACTTCTATCCGACGGAGACTCATAGACTCATTAACTTAGCACACGAATCACATCCGGGTATTGTGAGAACGAAGCAGCGTCTACGCCAGCGCTTCTGGTGGCCCAGGATGGACATTGAAGTAGAATCTTGCATCAAAGACTGTAACACATGTCAGGCAAATGACAAGACAGCGGTTACAGCAGTACCACCTCTTCAACTAGTGGCACTTCCAGCAGGCGGATGGAAACAGCTCGGAATCGACATTGTTGAACCGTTTTAGCGACCTCCTCCAGAATTTAAATTTGTGGTTACCTTGGTAGACTACTTCAGCAAGTGGCCAGAGGTCGCTTTTTGCACTCAAGTAATGGCTAAAGTTGTTTGCAACTCTCTAACTACGATTTTCAGCCGAGAAGGATACCCAGACGGGATTGTTTCGAATCATGGTCCTCAGTTTCTGTCTATCACATTCCGAGAGTTCCTGGACACAAGAGGAATTTCTCACCGTCGGTCTACCATCTACCACCCACAGGCAAACGGGCAGGTGGAGAGATTCAACAGAGTTCTAAAGGGGTACGCCCAGACTACAATACAAGAACAAAGTAACATTCGTACTAGCTAGCCTGACTGAGTTCTTGGGCGTCTACCGGAGTACACCACATGCGGCGACGAAACTCTCCCCGGCTGAACTGCTTCATGGGCGTCGAATGCGGACGAGAAAGTACAATCGTAAGCAGTGAGAGAGTGCAGGCGAGCTGGTAATCAATCGACATCTTGTAAACCCTGAGATGGGGAACGATAAAAAAACGGACGAACACAACAAAATCTCAATTTTGAGATTTTGTTGTGTTCGTCCGTTATTTTATCGCTCCCCATCTCAGGGTTTACAAGATGAGAAAGTACATCGTCGGATTTCCAAATTTCGAGAAACCGGCTCATATCGAGATGCAGCAGCTCCGTGAAAACATCGCCGATTACCAGCGACACAGCAAGCAGTACACAGACGAGACACGCAGAGCAAGACCCTTTAAAGGTAGTGTGGGAGATTGTGTGCGCGTGAAACTTGCCACACCAAGCGAAGGGAACACCAGCATTCGGAACACCCGAACGAATTAAAAAAACAGTCGGCCAAAGCACGTTTGTTACATCTGGTGGAGGATGTTGGGATTCGTCGCGGTTATCGCGAGCATATATTCCAGTCGGATCACAGTCATATGAGGACAACACAGGGCCCGGGGAAGATGCTGCAGATGCGAGACAACCACTTCACCTAACTCTACGAAGGTCCAACAGGAGCAGGAATCCACCGGTCAGATTTTCCTCTTAAAGAGCTTTTCTTAACGGGGGGATTATGTTGTGTGTGGTCTCTGTCGGAAAGAAGTGCTCACAGGTGGTGAAGGAGGAAGACGAGGAGTGAATGGAAGACGAAGATGAAACAGCTGGTCTTTCGTCCAGCGGTCTTTGAGCTCCAATATTAGAATCGTGCTGTCGATTTTCTGTTTAGCTCACCTCCCCTTATAGCCACTATACCCGATGCCCACTGCACGCGCTCTCTCGAAAAATACAAAAGAAATACCCGATAACGATATTCCCTCGTAGCACTGTGAATGCCAAGATCTCCTGCCGGAAAACGCTCTTTCCCTTGCTCCAAAAAAAAAAAAGCATTCGGAACAAAATGGTTCGATATCTATTAATGTCCTAACCCTAGAAAGTCTGCTAATGCCACTTTGTTTATAGCTCCCGTAGTTTTAGACGCGCGCGTTTTTTTGGTGTTGCTAGTTTCCTATTTTTAGTGCTTGAACGCTTTTAACAATAGGCTCGTGACTTTTAAAAGGGGTTTATTAGTATAAGAATTCTGGTTCGATTGGAGCCTGAATTTTCCCGTGGAGGGCGTAAACATTCCTCTCCCGTTTCTATGATTTTGCTGATGGCGGAAGCTGACTCTGATGAGTGATAATGATTATATTTACTACGTTGTCTCGCAGGTTGGCCCCGGGTTTGTGATGAATATGCTCTGCGTGACAGTGGAGCTGATAGCGATCCACTTGCTTGGATTTCCCCTTTTCGATTTGGGGACTTTTCCCAAATGGGCCGAAAACCAAACACTTTCGACGGTCAAGCCGTGACGTCGATTTTCTTTAAGTTTGTTGGAAAGCAGCTGTCACCCAGGTTGCTTCAAGAAAATGTAACAGATAAAGAAATACTGAACCGAAATTTGGATTTCGTAAAACAAGGCCGCAAAAGCGTTGAATTGGACGCTGCGAACTCCAAAACCTCACTCATACATCGATATCTCAAACGGATGGCCCTACTTTTGGAAAAGAAAGGCGCGATCAAGCGAGGTCTATGACGTCATCGTCCTCCTGGAGAATATGAGAATGAGGGGAAGCAGCCTCGCTTCTCTCCTCCTCGCTTCGGTTTACCAGCTCGACGGGACGTTGCGAGGAGGAGAAGGAATGAGAATCGTGACGTGACTTGTTTCGGCGGCCTCGTCGGCCGTGTTCAATAGCGCACTCCTTTTCCAAGAATATGGCGATCCGTTAAAAATATCGCTGTATCAGTGATGTTTTGGAGTTTGCAGCGCCCCGCCTATCCGTCCAGCCATGTTTTGTAAGCTCGAAATTTCGGTTCAGTATCCCTTTACGAGTCGTCCTGGAGAAAATATGTTTTTGAATGTTTGCGTCTTGCTAAAGTCAATATATCTTAAAATATTCTTGCAACAACGCCTCCCCTATTATCGCAATAAAATAAAGCTGTCTGCGTGAAATTTTCTTTTGGAATAAAATGATTAATGCAGATCAGTATATAACCAACCTGCAACGCTTTCTGTGGGACACAATACACGACAAGCAGATTTTCACTCATCATCGTGTTCATAAAATAAATGCGTCACTACCTCTTTAGAGGACGCCCTTTTCAACAATCTACTATATATATACACTTTTATGAGCTCCTAGGCAGTGCCGATTTGAGTTATGCTGACGCCGCCAATGCCGCCTTGTTGGGCTGCGCCACTGCTGTCAAAGTAAAAAAGTGTCTCTGCAAACCAAGTTGCGATGAAATATGCAATAGTTTCCCAATCCAAACGGATACTGGTGTGCAGGTGTAGAGCAACAACGCCCTGAGATAAGGATGAACTTTCCAAGTAATTCGAAACTTTCAGCGACTGTAGCACCCCGGTGTGAGAATTTCGCTCCCTATTGGTCTTGGGTGGCCGGCTTCCGAACGAAGGTGTTTGCTCACACTTCCGCCTGACGTTGAAGTATTAGATATGGCTTTTATATCACTCGTATTTTACAAGATTAGAATTACCTGCCCGTCGCAGACCCAACCTCGTCCTGCAGTTCTATTACGATCATCCAGATGACAGTCATTTGATAGGAACTCTAAAAGCCGTGAAAGTTGCGATTACCATTTTATATCTGTTAGGAATCTTAGGAACCTCTATTCAGTATCAAAGACGATGAAGCTTCTTTATAATGCATGGTTTATCTTTATCCAAGCGCTAACAACTCCTGTGCTTGATTGTTTCATACATGGTTTTCTTGGTCACTTCAATCTGAGATCATTGGTGGAAGGAGATGTAGTACTGAAAAAAAAAACAAAAAAAACATCCACTCTTGTTGCTTGATCTGCGATTGACTAGAGAGGAAATTCAAGTCCTCAAAACATCTCCCTCATATTTTCGCAAATCTTTTTTTTTTTTTTAGGCGAAAATGGGGGTGTGGAAATTTAGCACACAAACGACAGCAAACACGGGGTAAAGATCAGTTCAGAACGGGAGCCACTTCGCGCTGCCCAAATCGCAAGCCAAGCCTGCTCGCCGAAGGCCTTCGGAACGCTCGGAACCGGTCGGATCCTTGAGCCGGTATACGGCCGCAGCGCCGCTACGTACATACGGGACCTTTCTACGCTCGCCGCTCGTTGGCGCCTGATCCCACTACACCTTCCTAGTATCCGCCACTGGTGCCACTAAATAAGCTACGCTTCAGAGTAACGACACTTGGCCATATTGTGGCTTAAAATCATGGTTGCCAGTTATCTGAAGCTTTATCTGAAATCACAGGAAATGCTTTTCCGCCCTCCACAAATGTTTAAACCGTTCGCGACAGAGCAAAGCAGTATTACATGACCTTCCTAACACCGAATCTAATGCTGAGGAAGTCGCACTTTTGAATCATGACGATCGGCCGTTGCGTCTGTTCTGCATATGAGCCAAAATGGCGGCGCCCACAACAATGTCGGGGAACGGAGTGCCGATACTCTAAGCGCAGCTTATTTAGTGGCTCTATCCGCCACCTTTTCCACCGCTTGGTGGCGGGTATGTCGACGGGTGATTTCTTGTTTGCGTACTCACTAAACTACATTTGTTTCTTTTCGGATCTAAAATGCTGAACAAAAACTACTTTTATAAATGACTGAAACGGTTCGCACCACTTACATTTTGTATTTCGACTAAAAAGAACCTTTTAGCGGCTCTGACCAGTAGAAAGCCCAGGACTAAAGACGTCACATATCGCGCGCTTTCGGCACCGCGGGTCTCCCCCGTAGATAGAGGAGGATTCCGCGTCGTCCGGTTAAAATATGAAGCACATATATTTAGTTACTCTGCGTGCTCGCTGGCTTGCCCGAAGCCCAAGAGACGTGGAGACCGCAAAAAAGTTAGACTCTTATTAAATATGATTGCAGGGCCCCTTTAAAGGGAAGGTGGGGCACTTCTGCATATGAGAAAAAAACACGAATTGAGTTCATTGGGCCTTTAGAATAGCAGATATCACAATTATGTTTCAATGCCACGCGCCGGAGAGCTATAAGAGCAATTTCAAAATAGGGCTGAAGCCCCGCCTCCCTAGCCTTGGGCAGCCAAAAGATTCGTCGATGACGTCACGTAGAGCGACTGACTTTCGCGTTTTCTCGCGTTTAACAATACTTGCGCAGCAAATGGTTTGGGTATCCGGGTTCACGGGGTAAAAATACACTAGTATTCACTTCTAACTTTTTTTTTTTTTTTTTTTTTTAAGAAGCTCCGTAGCTTTTCTTTAAGCTACATCGGTTTCCACATGGCCCCGATCTCCGGCTGCGGTGGGTTGCGCCTGTAAAATGAAAAGACGTTTCCCCAACGCCATCTTCTCGAATATGCTCGGAACGTTTTCTGAATCGAGCGCCCACCTAACGCTGTACCGGCGATGAACATGGGGCGCGCTCGCAAGGTGCCTGCAAGTTTTCTCGTGATAATTGCTGTTTCAGCTTGTAAAATTTTGTAAATGAATTTATTTCAATAGTGATTTTTTGAAGTGGTGACACTGACGCGATTTTATCATCTACAACACTTAATTGAAGGGTCATTTCCGCCGCCGGGTATGGCTGGAAATCGTCGAAAAGATAGTTCTACCGGTTTTCCTGAGTTGCAATCTTTTTCGCGATACCAGAGAGCCATGAACCTATGTTGACCGTAACAACGCGACAAGATTCTTATTATTTTCAAAATTACTACGTAACTTAGCTGGAAAGAAATTTTAATTTCTGTTACGGAAAGTTAAAACATGCTCATGTAACGATTTCGAATCGTTGAATCATTGATCGACTTGCTCCGGCAATAGGCCAATCTCGAATTTGTTGTTTTCAGCTCTCAACAAAAGACACACTCGTCGACACGGAATCCTTAGATGAAACATGTATAAACACCTTCAAGCCGGAGTGAGCTGCCTTCGTCATCTAGCGAGCTTCAGGTTCCGCGGCCATGCTGAGTGGTTAGAAACGTCGGTGCTGTTCGGGGGGTTTTCCCGCGTTGGGAGTGCTGGTTGTGTGCTCCGAAGTGCTGGGTATCCGACTTGCGACGCGTCTTGTGTTCTTGTGTGCCTTTTTCAACTAATTGCGAATGTTGATTGCCCCACATTAGGGCATCGGCCAGTGCGGCGACGCCAGAAGTGCGGCACTGAACGTGCCACCGATAGGAATCGGGGGCGAGTACTCAAAATATTGTATAAGTTAACAGCGATTGAACTTTTCTTCAGATTTTTTTGTCGTTTTAGATTCAGTTGACTGGGAATGTTTTTGGAGTTAGTGTCGCCCACAACAATAAAATACAATGTGAATAAGGACGCGCGAAATAAGAATATTGTAGGGAACGATCGAAGGCAGCTCACTCCGGCTTGAAGGTGTCCATGAACGTTTTATTTGAAGAGCCCGTGTCGACGAGTGTGTCCTTTGTCGAAACCTGAAAACAGCAAAGTCCAGCTGGGCCTATTGCCGGAGAGAGTCGATCAATGATTCAACGATTCCAAATCGATGGAAACACATGTTTCAACTTTCAGAAAAAAAAATTAAGGTTTCTTTCTAGCGTCATTATGTACTCATTTTGAAGATAAAAATAATCCAGTCGCGTTGTGACGGTCAACGTAAGTTCACGGTACAGGAAAACCGATGGAACAAACTTTTCGACAATTTCCAACCACACCCGGCGGCGGAAATAAGACTTCAACTAAGTAGTGTAGATGATAAAATCTAGTCAATGTCACCACTTCAAAATATCACTATCAAAATAAATTCAGTTACAAAAAGTTACAAGCTGAGACAGCAATTATTACGTGGAAAATTGCACGCACCTTGTGAGCGTACCCCATGTTCATCGGCGGTACAGCGTTCGGTGCGCGCTTCATTCACAAAATGTTCCGAGCACAGTCGGGAGAATGGAGTTGGGGAAAGGTCTTTTCGCTTTATAGAGGCAACCCGCTGCCGCCGGAGATCGGAGCTATGTAGAAAACGATGGAGCTTAAAGACATTGAGCAGCACTCGTCGGATTCCGTACAAGCTACATAGGTCCTTGAACAGTATCCGACGCTTTCTGTCGTTATTCGTGCACCCTATCACCCAACAATGATGTCCCAATGACCGGGGGACTGTCGCCACCAAAGCCCGTGGCTCTAATTAAGTTTGGGAGCTTAAAAGGACACTGACACCCTCCTAAATGTTTTTCTTAGTTTTTGCCAAGCGACTAATTATGGTGTCAGAAAAGTACCCAATCAATATTTTACTATAGCGTCATGTATATTTTTAATAAAGTGAAAACACTCAACTGCTCGAAACCAAAACCAAGACTGGACTGGCGAGGAAGAAGAAATATAGA